CACGGGCCGATTGAAACGTATTTGGGTTTTGAATTTTGGCGGGTCGTACACCACCGCGATTCGTACGTTATATTATACACACATATAGGTAGTATATGTATAGAAACAACAATAATGGTATGTATTATATATAGTTACCAACGAGCGCTATTATATTCGTACGAATCGACGTTCAGGGGAGGGGAGGTGGGCAGCTGATACAGATCTGTTCTTTGTACTAAATAAAACAAACGCGTGTTTTGAGGAGGACGCGATGCGTATCACACACCCGGGAAAATTAGTGGGCGCGACAAGACTTATAATAATATTATTATCATCATCATTACGACGACACCGGCAAACCCTCGGCGGATTCTCTTGTAGTATGGTCGTATGGACTCGTGAGCATAATATTATATCTATATGATATATCCCAACCGACCTCGTGCTCGCAAAGTGCCGATAGTTTCGTCGTTCAAGTCGTATAATGTGCCGTACAACGAAGGCGGAGGTGGTGGCGAGGAAGTTTGTGTCGCGGTTCATACCGTTTATACCATAGATATCTAGAAAATGTTTTGATGTATTATATTATGCGAGTCGTTTTCCCGATGAGTCTGAAACGTGTTCTCGGTGCGTCACCGCAGGCGAGAGGGTCGTCCACGCGGTGGTCGATATTACCCGTCGTCGTATATAATATTATTATAATATATGTTTATAATGTATAGTCAGGTAGTGGCGAAAAGGAATTGTGACACAAACGAAAATAATAAAACAAAAAAAAAAAATGTATACGAATTCTTTTTTCGTTGTCTTCTCAGCCACCTGTTAGTAGAAGAATCCGCGCGGCTCTTGGATGTCGTCCAAAAACTGCAGCCAAACATTTACAACACGTGATCGTGTGTGTGTGTGTGTGTTTCTCTCTCTCTCTCTCTCTCGCTCTCACAATCTCCATATCTTATCTATATAGGTATATAACGTAGGCATACGACATATTATTTTTATTGTGCGCATACTCGCATATTATAATATACGCGTTGTATAGTAAATATGCCTTGTATCACCCGACAGCAGCTTCTGACCAGCGCGATGAAAAAATCGTATAATGACTGTAATGTATTAAAACGCTGCGTCACACTCACACGCGTGCCACTATTATAATATACAGGATGGTTCAGGCACGCTTACCCCGTGTACAACTTTAGTGCCTGGTCAAATTAATCAAATTCTGGTGCTCGGAATTGTGTAAGTAGGCAGGTATGCCTACTAAAGGCGTATGATATATTTTCAAAATATTTGTATGCCTTTTAAGAAACTATATTACGTCCTGTGTCGGTGCTAACACTTATTTTTTATCGTAAGTGCTCAATTGTTATGAGAATGTTTCATTTAGAAAATTGAAATGTGATCAAAAATTTGATTCAAACGAGCCTAAATATTTTATGTAAAACATACAATTTATTAACTCAGAAACTACTCGGTAAGAATTTTGATTTAGTTGCAGTGCGTATAATAATTTTCAAAAAACTATTCTGACTTACAATTTAATATTTTTTGTGTCGCCACAAAATATTTAACTGTTAATATTAAATGGTATAAAATAATCTCTAGTAAAAGTTTCATTAAAGAGTTTGAAAAACTGTATTTAAAAGGATAAAAGAATTTGAAAAATGATATGGTTATAATAGGGGACTACAGTTTTTAAGTTAATAAAATATGTAAGTGGATAGTAATGATTAAGCCCTTAAAAATGGATTTACAAAAAGATGTAATATTGGATTTAGTATTCATTATAATATACTTATATAGTTTAATATGAACAGATTAATATTAATTACATACTAAAATGTCCACATCATCATAACTCCGTTATCTTCCAAATCCATTATCGTAGACCAAATGCACATTGTTAAATATCACAAAAACCATGGTGCACTCGTTCAAATTTCGATTTAGATGTATTAATATTATATATACATTCAATAAATGTTTGAAATGTCAGCTGACGAAAAATGTATTTAAAAGAATAACAGTATAATCGTTTTGAATACATTTGAAAAAAAAAGGTTTATGTATCGCCACGGGAAACTTATTTTATCCACAGACGAGAAAAAAATTTGAAAACTACCCCTGGGTAGGTATATTTCTTAGTTTCAAAAATCAGAATTCGAATAAATTCGTTATCAATTGAAAAACGGGGTCGAGCATACTCGATGAATCACCCTGTATGATTATACCGCTGCCGCACGTGCTTGAATAATGTACCATTCGAATTCGCAAGCCTGTTACCGCCAAAGTGCGAATTAATAATGAGCCGTGAATTTATTATTCACATCAATATATTATAGTAGGTAGGTTTAGACAACAGGTGGGCATATGGTTATACGGGCATGTACGAGTCTATTACAATTTGTGTCGATGAAAATCGCTTGAGCGGCGGCACATAGCGCTCGATGTGATATAATATTGCGTGCGAATATACCTTTACCGATAGGCGTATATTACATTATTATTAATGTGAAACGTTTTATATGGTCGCTTATGAATTTGGCAATATTCCACAAGCGACTGCGGTATAATATGTTCTTTTAGAAAACATAGGTTTTGTACATGTCGAACAATTTGCGGACGTATAATAATAAAATATATTTGGAGGCACCTCGGTGGGGTGTTTTCCGAGCATCGCGCGTCCCGGCACTCCTATATACATAGTCCCATATAATATGTACGCAAATAGATAATATGTTATTATATATATATACACACACAATGTTATATACCTACCTATATGCGTATATATTATATAGTCCATACCGACCGAACGGGTTTCGTCCTGCAGCACATAAGGAACGGTATAATATATGGTCATTGTTTATAGTAGAAAATATAATAGCGTTTAAAATATTAATTCACAAAAAATGTATACTAATGCCCGAAATTCCCAAGTACGGCTTAGCAGTATAAGACTGTATAATTTATAGGCAGGGAATAGTACAACACCGAAAAATTAACACCGATCGTCAACGTTTAGCGTTAGTCGTTTTTTTATTTTCAAAATTATTTCTATATTATAAAGGTACACACTGCAGGCCACATGGTGATTCTTAGAAAAGGGGAACACTCCTCTTTTCAAAAAGTATATTAACGTTTGTGGAAATATTTTTGTTGGATAATATTGTATATACAAATACCTTCTATTTATATAAACTGTAAAATAAATAATAAATAATACCATCATATTATCTTTGATCTGATCTATCTGTCTTTGATGTGAAATGATATGAATATATTATTATATCTTTTGCATATTATGAATTAGTTCAGAAAGTTTTTTTTTTAAATAATTAACTATGGAATTGGTATAATATAATAAAATATTTATTACTAAGTGAATGGCCTAAATTAAATTCATTGAAAACCGATAGGCATTGACATTTAAAAAAGGCACGCACTGTCTATGTGAGTATTTTGACCGTAGGCATAATGTAATATGGAGTATGGTAACTTTCAAATCGTTCGCACTCACATACTTACTTTATTAGTTTTTTATTTTTTTATTTTAGAAATTTTAGCACTCAACTACGATATTTTGACAATCACAATATACAATATAGTAAGGAATTAATAGTGAACATAAAAAAAATACAATATGCATGATACAGATGACAGCTAGTAATATGTAGGTATAGTAATATAACATAATCCAGTTAAAATTAAAATAACCTAATAATGCCGAACGGTTAATATTATTAACATAAATTCAATAGTTATTGGTAAATAAATATAATATAAAAGGTATAGATATGAAGAACCGTGTCGGTATTTTTCGATCTATCGAAGGCGTATTTAAGAGGATAGGGTATTCTAGGAAAGCAATGTATTTAAGAGAGTTGATAAAAGCGAAATTAATGGGGTGACGAGGGAATTTAGTTGCGTAACAAATTGAGATGTAATAATTGAAATAGGTTCAGTATTTAAATTATTCGAGTTGTCTACAGTTGCTTCTGCGTACGTCTTAGCCCTGTGTTTTCCTTTGTATCGGGTTGCTTTATTAATTATTATTAAAGTACGGTTGGTGGTCAATGTAATAGCGTGCAGAACAATGTTATATTGATATTTTAAAATTAAAAAACAAAGCTAAAACTTATTTTTAAATACGATTTTAACGAGTGAAGTTTATTGGTTTGTAGGTTGGATTGTAGGATGGGGAAAAAACTGATATCTATTATCTATACAACTATAATTATCTAATAACTTTTGATTAAATATATCTATGGTACGAGGTAGTTATGTATAGGTACTATGGGCACTAAGAAAATGATATACTATGTTGAAAAATGTATGTTTGACCATATTATAGTAAATCATAATAAGCTTTTATGATTTATTAGATGAAACGTTTTCAAAACCTATGCGATACGAATTTTTCACCTTTTTGTATTTATTTATATATAGAATTGATGGTAATATTGTAATAAAATTAATTTATGAAACACGCATTTATTTTATCGTGTTAAAAAATAAACTAAAAATGTTCCACCGCTTTAACCAATCCAATGTATGATCTGGCCATGAAAGGAGCTCTTGAGGGAAACAACACTAACCAGACCGCACCAACTTTTTCAAGAACACTGACATTCACTCCAGATTACAACCACTAATATACGTATACCTATATTTAGTGTTTGTCGATTCCGAATAATAATTACTTTGATCAACATATTAATCGATACCGCTTTTGGTCGTAACTTTTGGAGAGCGAAGAAATTAATAATTGCCGTGTAGCTCTTAAATCAATTAGGTAGGAACTATATATATTATTATTATATTATATTGTCTAGACGTCGAAGCATTTTCTTTGCGCGTTATTGCTGCAATAATAACTATCGAATTAAAAAAAAAAAAAATGTTTCGAGTATGTATACCTGGTACATTTATGAATTTATCGTGCTTGAAACGAGAAAACTCATTCGAGATCACAGCTAAAAATATATCGGATTGATTTAATGAACCAAAAAACTTACCGCAATTAAGCTTTGTAACCGGTCAATTAGCATAGTCTTCGCGATGCCTTTGGCTGAATCGACGGTGTCCTTCGCAGCGTAAAATCTACGAAGGCCCGTCTCCCGCCACTGACAGTCCCATGGCGGCACCTGGAACAGTTTTATTTTTCAATTAAGTACGAAACAATTATTATTTATCACGATTTGGTATCGACAGGTTTTTTTTTTTCTACAATTTATTAACACTCGTATATAAATATAATGTGCTATGATAACGGGGTGGCAGAAGGGGCGACGGGGTAAGAAGAAATTATAGCGAACGTTTCATTTGCATTTTAACTATGTATAGGTATTTTACAGACAGTGAAAGGTTGAGGCGGCTGTAGATACTGTTTTATAATGCATTTTATAATAACAACAATTAAAAAACGAAACGAACGAAAAAAAAACAAACACTATTGTTCGTTATCGAAAGTATCGGATGAGTCTTATTATCATATACCATCGAGCTATATAGTTTTCTTCCCTAATTACAATTGCAGGAATTCAGAATGAGCAATTAAAATGTGTTTTCAAAACGTGGCTCGGTGCATACAGGATTAGTCTTAATAATATGCATTCAAACCTAAATCAATCCACCTAGTATAGTGACTATGTAATAAATTTGAATATTTGAATAATACTGCAGCCTACGATACCCACGTCCTTTAATTTATTATAACCCACCGGTGTAGGTAATTTAAACTATATTATAATCATATACATATTGTTAATGAAGAACATTACTGACTGCAATGAATATAATTTATATAAAATATATTAGGTATATGCGTATGCCTAAATTTTAGAAAAGAATTATTAACCATGCCTAAATAACTAATGAAATACATTTTTTGTACTATAGCTAGGATTCTTTTTTCGTAAACCGTTTCACTGCGATAGTATAATAATGTGTCTAATTAATCAAGTCCTACATATTATACAGGATTGTGGTGAAATACGGTTATGTAAATATTGCCATTCATTTTATGTAAAATAGTTGTAACAAAATTTGAAAAAAAGATATTATAAGAAGGTTATAATTCGTATGTGTAGTAACATATTTTACTATTAATCAACGACATATATATGCATATATATTAAATAGAGAGAGTTATCTGCTTGGTTTGCATTTATTTTTCACCGTGTACGTTCAAGGTGCAAAATCGTATTCAAAATGTGTTTTATATAGATCTTAACATTATTATACAACATTATATACTTAGAGCTATATATAGGTATACATCTATAACTCGCAAATATAAATTTTAAACGTAATACTATAAATAAAATCAGCTCTGCTACAAAATATAAGTTGCACTTAAACAACGAAGTCATACATCATTTTAGTCTGAAATACTCTTATTTGTTTTATCTGCAAAATAACAGTAAAATCATTAAACCGCAAATCGTTCCACTGTGAAAATAAAAATGACGAAAACCACGTAAAAATATGAGAGAACAAAATAACAAATTGATACGTGTACAGTAAAATATTTTTATCTCATCCAGCCAATTGTGTATTATAATAATAAATATTAGAAACGCGATTACTCTTAAAATCGATTTTCATCGTCGTCCCGTACGAGAGACATAAAATACGACTTCCGCGATGACCAAATTATAACTCCACGAGAGATTTTCTAAAATTATATTACATTATATGTACACAAAATAGATAATATTTCATATACACGCGATACACCTAAAAGTACGTTATTACTTATTGCTGCAATACATATACTATATACTATACGAGAATGAATAATACATTTCCTATTAAGAATTTATATATTATCAAGTTGATTCATTGGTCGGTTGGTTATAAACCTATTTATATTTAAAGCGTACATATTATAATAATATAATATAATAATCGTACACGAATCGACCACTGACGTACCAGCGCATAGCAGCTACCATGGTATATAACAGATAACTAATGGCTCTACAAATGATGTGTTTTTCGAACGCTCAAATAGCTGCTGCACACAATATTATTACAATGTAATAGACGGTGTAAAGCCACGTAACGTTATTATTTATATTAGATTTCGAAATACCTATATATTGTATATATGCCTACGTTTTTTTAAATATTTTGTTGTGTCGAAATCACGTTGCCACAAATAATCGTAATAACAATATGTCATCCGACTTATTTTATCACGAGAAAAATAAATTTAAAAAACCATGTCCGTTTTTAATTGTTGTCTTGGACGCGGATGCATCGCGGTGCGTGATAATATAATATTATAATGCTATAATTCACATACATATGTCATATAGGTATACAGAAAGCAGCATCCCCGTTATCAAACGACCCGTATAAATCGACCGAACACGAGGAATGCCACACACAACGCCACGATGTCGTTTGCCGTATCCTTTTATTTTTTTATTTCGATTTTATCGTTTTTTCCCGTAGCCAAAAACACGTTGGTATTCCACCACAACACTATAATATTATAATAATACTGCGCGTAGAAGGAAAAATTGTATTAAATCAGCACCGCGGTCCAAAATAATAATGTTGAAGTCTTGCTAGGTATGTAATATTACTATAATAATAATAATATGTTCTCTGATATGATATGACATATACTGCTGCAGTAGTAGCAGAATAATAAAAAACACACAAATATTAGTTAATACAATAATATTATTGTGTCGCTTTTTTTTTCGTTTACAAGAATAATACGAGTCAATTATTGCATTTATATAAGAAATTTGCATTTTTTTTAAAGCGGTTATGTGGAAAATATGAATGTAATATATATATAGGTAAGTGAAAGAAAAATATATAATGTAAAATAAGGCTACCACGTATTTGATGCGTGTTATCTCTGGATCGATTGTAATGTAAACCAGTTTTTTATTTATATATACCTACACTTACATACATATATCCGTAAATCGAAAACATGAATGGAAGTATATATGTATACATATATAAACCTATATGGCATAATATGTAATGTAATAATAACGAAGATAAAAATAAATAAAACGGTATATATATATGTGGGTATATACCTATACTTTGAAACATGTGTGTATACATTACTTTATTATGCGTATAATATAATGCAGAAATGTATACAAAACATGGAAATAACATATTAAGAGTACCATCCTTAACCATACTTATGACATTATTGACGTGGCACCGTCCATCGTATAATATACGTACACCTATATACATATTATATTATAATTAAAAAGTCCACTGACCAACTCTCGCGTATGGTTGCGAGGCTTGGACGACGACCAAACAGGCAGAGAGAAGCTCGAGAACATTCGAGAACAAAATTTGGAGGAAAATATCATGTCGAAATCCTGTCATTTCTGATTCAATTGTCAATAACGCTGACCCAAAACAAATTTCTTCGTTTATAGGCAGTTGACTTTAAATATTTTTTATAATTATTGATATTTTTTTCCGGCTAATTTATGAAAACAGTGCGCATTTTTGAGCTGTAATAATTTTAGAAGGTTACAATAATAATTTAAATGTATTTATTTCTGTATAGAATTAATACACAAGCAGAATATGTCAATATAAATTTGCGACTTCCCCGGGACACAGAGGACACCCCCCCCCCCTCCTAAATACGTGCCTGAAAGTTTAAAAAAAGTGATGGCGGCAGTAAAGTAGGAAGTAGATCTAGTTTTTATAAAAAAAAAAAAGTAAAATAAATTTCGTGTCATATCGTAACCAATCGCCGATGACCGGAAACACTGATAGCGCCGTAAACCACCGGCGCGAGTGTCGTGGACCAAAGTTCTCATACCACGGTTAGCGTATGACGTTTCATACTACATATATGGACGTACAGTATGCGCCAATGATAAGTGATTCTGGACTGTGACTTATAGAAAAATGGTAAAGAACACGTGGTCCACGAAATTCATGCAGGTGCTATCAGTGTTTCCGGCCATTGGTTGCGATATAACACGATTATTCACCATCGTAAAACAATTTGTAAAAACAAAAACCAAAGATTATTCAAAAGAAAATTGGTACCTGAGAGCGTTTGAGGTTTGAAAAAAACTCTTTCGTCGGAGGTCCCCGTACTTCAAAAGTTTAACAACCGCTGGCATAGAAGATGGTCATAATTATTATTCGTGTTGTGTACGCCTGTGCATCGGGTGACTACACTGGCACTTACTGGTAATATTTCGAACGAGGAAAAGTTTTATTTGAATGTACATTTGGGTTTTCACGGTTATTCGTACGGCTTAAAAGTAATCGTAAATAATATTAAATGTGTATATTTTTTTTTCTAAGACATTACAATGTTAGGTCCGTACAATGTGTATCGCGTGAGAGTTAAATAAGACCATTTCGGCATGGACAGAAACCGTAGAGACGACCACTTGAAACAGTATTTTATAGGTACTACCTACTCCACGATACTATATCCTAGTCGGCTGCACTATAATCAAGTGTTGTGGCGTCGTGCTGAAAATGAGAATAATTCGTCGACTGCGAGTACCTAGTACCTACGTACCTATACCTGCGAGGTAAGGATTACGCGTGTCGTATTATTATAGGTGTGGTTGTCAAATTGAATATATAAATATCGATGAACACATATTGAAACTACAAAAAGGTAAAAATAGAACTTACAGTCGGTAATCGCAAGACTTAATCAGATCAAATCGATACATAAAAATTGTATGGGTAGGGCAAGGATAGAGAGAACATTCGAAACCGATCACAAATCTAATGTTTCATCGTTAACGTACATATTATAGTACTACGGCAGTACTACTACTACTACTACTACTACTACTACTACTATTACTACTACTACTACTAATACTCTACTACTACTACAGTAATAAAACGCTATGCAAATATTTTAAACATAAAATATAATAAATGTTCATGCATTTTTTTTTATCGATTTATTTTGGCACCGGCGTTAGGTCAGGTTGTAAAAAAAAAAAAAGTACGTATAAGAATGAGTTTTATATTCAAGTCTTACACGTTGTTTATATATTATGAGTACATGCAATTATAATATTTACAACTCGCTGCGAGCATCCATGTATGCCGATTGTCGGCTACTGATACGTAAATATTGTTAACCATCGTAGGTACA